CGAGAACTGCCCGCCCCTGCACTTCCTGGTGCCCAGACAGTGGAACAGGGCAGAGCCCGTCCGCGCAGCTCCCCCGCGGACAGAAGGAGCCCTCCACTCCCGAAACAGCCAGCTTGGGGGGGAGGGGGACTCCCCCAAGGGGGAGGAGACAACTCCTGGTTGGGAGAGGCTCCTCCCCTCCTCCCCAGCGTCACGGGCAGGGTGTGGGGGGTGTGCCACCTTCCCCAGGTAGGGCCTCCTTCTCCCCCTCCTCCTCCCCCTTCTCCCCCTCCCCCCTCCGCTCCTCATCCTCAGGGGACCCAGATCCCCTCCCCAGCTTGGGAGGCTCCGCCAAGAACGGGAAGAGCCACCGAGGATGAGACTCTTCAGCTGCCTTTGAAGAGGGGGACCCCTCCAACCCCAAACTCCAGGACCAGGTTGTTCCCTCCCTTTGCTGGGGGAACCTTGGAGACAGGTTAGTGCATTCTTTCACCTTCTCTCCGTCCGTGCGCTTTAGGCACTAGTGGGTGTAGGGGTCTGAGGTGGTGGCTGGTGGGTCTCATTGCTGGGGAAGGGAGAACGGTGACTCAGAGAAATGTGTTCTGAAGGAACCCCTGGGTTCGAAACCACCCCTTTGGGCAGAGGGTCTGGGAAGTGGGTTTCTTGGTGTTTGGGGATGGGGTTCACCGGAAGTCCCTGGGGAAGTGTATGTTTCCATGCTGACAGCAAAGGGAGATGAGAAAACACCTGCATTTTCCGAATCCATCCATACTGTGTAGCAGCGATTGACACATCCCAACTGGACTCCCATCTCACCCTGCATCCTTGGGGCCATCTCCCCTGGACAGTCACCTGGAGAGGGCCCTCACGCAAGTCGTGGTGGCGTTGCATGGCCTGCCCTTGTATAGGGCTGCCACGGGCATCACATTTTCTCATCTGTGACCCTAAGTTGCCTTATGTCCCATCACTGTGATTACTGCTCCCTTGAAAGAAAAGCACCCCGTCTGCACTCACTGTGCCTCAGACACCAAGAGGCCTCCTGTCCTGATATTCCCATCCCTGGCTGGGAGCATGCCTCTCCCAATAAAACCCAAAGGGAAAATGGGAACTCCACACGTCCCGAGACAAGAGGCAGGGGCGCAGGGGAATGCCTGCTCCTGGGTTGAAGTTGCTCCCGAATGCTGACTCTGTCCCCCTGTCCCAGTCATCTGTCCAACTCCTGTCCTGGGCTGACAGCTCCTCAGGAAGAAGGGACCGGTTCAGCCTCCTTCCAGCTTTTCCTCTAAAGAAGTTGGCCACCAGGGAGATGGGACTTCTCAGGAGTTCCCTTTCCTAAAAGCACCTGCTAGTCTCATCTTCTCCCTTCCTGTTTCTTGTTTGGTTCTGGGTCTCTGGGACCTTGTATATAAGTTTTTCTTTGCAAGTTTGGAGTAGGAATCATCCAAGTCCAGAATCTTTAGAAAATGCAGGAAAAAGGGGGCCAGGAAATTCTTCTGGCCGAGCCCAGACTGGTGTTTAGGAGAGCTCTGCCCTTCAACCTGGGATCTCTAACTGGGGGTCTGCCTTCTTGCCTTGTCATTAGGAAATGTCTTCTGTTCCGGGGATTACAGCCCATAGCAAGGCCAGGAGGGAGGCTTTATCTCTTTGGGGTTTTATGTTTCTTCTTTCTCTCTTTGTCTGGTCCATGGATGGGCTGTCTGAGTCCCTAAGTACATCCACTTGGACCTGGAGTGTACCTGTCAGTAGTGATATAGGAGTAGAGGAGACAGGGCTACAGTCCAGGTTTGTAAGGCTGTGCTTTAGGGCAATGTGCGTATGTTTCTTAATGCAGGTGAGTGTGGCTCTGTCTTACCTCTGTCTGTGTTTCAAGTGGGTATGTTTCTGGAGACAGGTGCATGTGTGCTTTTCAGACCAAGCCTCCAGTGACCTAGACTTGTATGTTTCCAGGAGGCCTCTAAAAGCAGGTCCCCCTGTGCAATGACCTGGGGAGGGTTCTGGTAAGGATGCCCAGCTGGAAGGAAGGGCTGGGCCTCCCCTGGCCAGCGGGAGCCCTCATGAATGGCTGCATCCCAAGCAGCAGGGCGGCCCAGCCTCAGGCTGGGATCACTGCTTATAGGACTAATAAGAGAGCTTCATTTCTGGTATTTCGAGTCTCAAAAGCATGAGGATCTTTGGCTCTGAATCCTAGAACTCCTTCCCTAACTTTTGAAAACGGCTCTGCTGTAACAGCAGTTTATTTCTTACAAAGTACTTTACCAGATGCCGGAATGCAACTTGTTGAATGGTAACACCTCCAGGTGTACCACCACCACACGGCTTCACTGGCCCTGCTTGCTCTGAGTTGTCCAATGCTTGCCTCTGTGGATCAGTCAGAAGCACATGGCTCTGGGTTGAATTAACTGTGATTTAGAGAGTGCTATTTTCCAGATCATGTCTTATGGCCAGACCTAGCCCCCCCACACCCCCTGAAAAAATAAGAGATGATATTCCCCCATTCCTTCATCCCTGGAGTTTACTCGGTCCTGACCCTGACATTGATCAGTGATACTATCCCCAGAGGAAAAGCTTGAGATTCTGACATCCTGCAAATGATTGCAAACTCAGCGCAGGCTTTCTGCTTCCAGTCTTAGCTCTATGATCTGTCAGTTTTCTAATTTTTAATTTCTAGTATTCTTTTCCCCCCCATTCAAAAAAAAATAGTAGTTACACTTACTAAGTGCTTTAAGATATTAAGGTACCTGGGGAGGGGACAGGAGCGGGGTGGAGGGAGTCAATGGGGGGAAAAAGGGGACATCTGTAATACTATCAACAGTAAAGATAATTTTAAAAAAAGAATATTAAGATAATCCTCACAACAACCCTATGTAGGTATAGTTATCATCTTTAATTTATAGATGCAGAAACTACAACACACAGAGGTGAAGTGACTTGCCTGAGGTTGCAAGGCCAGTAGGTAGTGGAGTCAGGACTGAAATCCAGGCAGCCCACTGGTAATTGGTAATGTGGTTAACACAGCCATTGCTCTATTAGTTTTGGCATTATGTGCAAAGCAGGAAATTATCGCTCCTTAATGCCTGACCTTGGCACCACACAGAGGATAATGACTGGCCTTGCAGATAAAATGGGAAGAAAAGTGTGCCTGTAATTTTGGATCTTACATGTCTCATCCAGAATCCGTCTTCCACTCCAACAGAATGTCTTTCTGTTTTTCTCTGCCTTTCTCCCAGTACTGTAGTCTTCCTTAGACGCCCTGTGGATGTGATGGAGCCTGCCCTTTGGCTGCCTTTCCCAGTTTCTATGGGTATTTCCTTTCAGTCTTCCAGCACGCAGAGAAGAATGTGGCCTGACTCAGGTTCTGCCCAAGCCCGGTGGCACGAGGCCCACCTGGAGAGAGAGGTCTGGGTAACTAGGTTGGTTGGACTGAGAAATGGAAGTACCTCTTGTTTGCCTTGCTAAGAATAGCCCTGAACACTAGCCTCATGCCATTATTTTGGGGAGCGTGGAATGTGTGGCAGCCACGAGCTCATTAAGCTTCATTCACTTCCCTCCAGGGATGAAGCCTTGGCAGTGTTTAGGACTCCGTCCCTTTTATTAACAGGGGAAACTGAGGCATCAAGACTTCAGGGAGCCAGGGGCGGTTAGGGATATTTAGTGAGTCAGTATCAAGGTTGGGAATGGAACACAGGAATCTCAATGTCTGAGCTTTTTCACACTGGGTTGCCCTTCAAGAATGGGGAAGTGACGGGAGTGAGGAAGTGGGATGGGTTGAAGGAGAATGGTGCTGAAAGATCAGAAGGACCTTTTGCTGCAAGCTTCTGGTAGCAGATGAGACTGGGATATATTGTGAGTGCTGGGGCGCATCTGGAGGGCTGACTGGGAGGGTGCAGGAGAAAGGTTAAATTTAACCCCGGTGTCCTCACCTGGTGCTGGGGTAAGGATAGGGAAAGGCACAGAACAACTCGCAGCAGGCTGAGAGTGCTTCCCTTTCCGGAAGTCACTGTGATTGGCATGTGCCAGATGGGTTCTGTGAGCCGCCCTATGAACACTTTAAATCGACTCTCATGCTCCTGTCCAATGTTGGGGGAGCTTCAAATGAAATATCCACTAAAGGCTTCTGTGTTCTTCAGATGAGATTTCCTGGGGATCTTTAGCAGGAGATCATCGGGAGCAGGGTAACATTTCGTTACAGACCTCCCCTGTGGGCACTGAGAACCTGCTCATTGTCACAGTATTGTCCAGCTGGGATAACCGGGCTGTGGGACCTGCTTTACCAGAGGCGGTGGTGCTTTGACTTAATATACATAGTGCTAGGAGGTCTGAGACTTCTGGAATGATTCAATATCCCTATTAGTTTCCAAGTTTCTGTGGGTGGTGGGAGAGAAGATATGGATAAAAGGAAAACTCCTTTATAAAACTATTTATAAACACGATCCCCCCCACCCTGCTTCTCTTGTCAAGCAATTCTTGGGTTGCAATTGAATCTTTGGCTGCCTAGGCCCCTGAGGCACTAAGGTGTTTCCTTCATCCCTGTAGAGTAGGCGTGTTGCCGGTGACGAGCTCAGGGCTGGGTGCTGGTGTCTATGTGCAAAGATTGTGTAGGTGGGGACCTTGTGGGGGGAGAGAGATGACCACGAAGGCTGACCTTTAGGAGAAAGGGGTAAGTGTCAAGGCGGGAAGAGCCACTGACCAGGAGAGTGACTGATAGCCTGAAAGATGTGTTGGCGTCGGGAGAGGGGGAGGCAGCCATAGCGAGGACTGAGCTTTGGATGGCAAAGTGTGTGGATTTGTGTGTAGTTGTATGTATACGCTTGGGCATAGTATCTGTGCGTGGATTTAGAGATGACATACATAATACGTTTCTGTCCAGGATTCTGAAATCTGAGGCGTGCTAGAGAAATGCCCTGGCGGGGCTGTCTGCAGGGATACGAGGAAGAAATACTAGTTGGAATCTGGAGGCTGTGCAGGCACAGACCTGTTAGGCAGCCAGTGCTTAGGGGGTTGCTGGCATCAGCTCGAGGGGAGTGCCAAATGGCTACCAAGCGGTTCCTGCCAGCCTTTCTAGACCCTGCAATACAGATGTCACCCATCGTTCTTCTCCTTCCCCCACCAAGATGTCACTCTAGCTACACCCCTCTGCCAGTAAGAGGGCCCAGGCTGTGTGGGTGGCAGCTGGGCGTGCAAACATCAGGCGTGGGCGGTTTGGCAGCGCCAGAAGTTTGCATGGAGGTGCAGCGAGCGTGCGTGCCTGGCTGGGAAGGAAGGAGAGAGGAGGAGGGCGGGAGAAGGGGAGCCAGCTTTTAGCCCCAGCGTGGCTATTTTTAGCCAGGCTATCTGATTGTTACCGGTGTGCACTCAGCTGGGTGTCTCCCTGGCTTAGTGCAGCCCAGCAGGCCGAGGGAGGTGGGAGGTCCTTGTCGATGACTTCTTCCTGGTGTAGGTGTCTGTGGGCCGAGCTTGCAAAGGGGTAGCTTTCAAGGTGTGAGGGCAGCAGCACTCAGGAGCTGTTACCTCTGCGTGTGTGACTTTGTGCCCTGTTGGTAAGGTATGCTGTGTAGCTAATTGTGATCTCTGTTCATGTGTCTGTCTTACATCTGTTCTTTGCTGGTAGTCATATGTGATTTATGCTTGGTATATGTCTAATATGCCTCATGCACATGTATGTGGGCTAACAGGGGCAAATGCTCAAATATATCTGATACAAAATATCTTTAGAGTGTTGGTGTATGCTTCATCAGTGTGTATTTCTGTTTAGAATGTTTTTCTTCACATGCTCACTTGTGCTATCAGTGTCTGTTGTATGTAAAGTACAGTAAGTGTCACATAATTGAAGAATAGACTTTGGCAGATGTTTCCTGCTATCTAAGTGTATTTTTAAAATTATTTTCTACGTACTTTAAAGATATTATGTTGTAGGGCTTTCAGCAAGGAGAATAGAGGGAATGGCTCAGTTGGGTGGTTTGATCTCACTTTTAGTTCTACATGAAGGGGGAGACCTCTAGACTCTGTTCCACATTAAGATGTAGAATAAGTACCAGTCTGTCATCTGGTAGATGATTGGTGGTAGATCCATGTGGGTTCTAGGACCACGTGGAGGGCTGTCTCATAGAGAAGTCTACTAAGGGAATTAGAGAAGAAACTACTTTCTTTAAAGCACTAGGATTTGAGTATTACTTGCCACCTGTAACCAGAGTTAACACTCATTTTTCTGTTTCCTTTGTGCATTTCTTTGCAGAACCCAGAAGAACCATGGCTTCTGATCTAGAGAGTAGCCTCACCTCCATAGACTGGCTCCCCCAGTTGACCCTCCGCGCCACCATTGAGAAGCTAGGGAGTGCTTCCCAGGCTGGGACTCCAGGGGGCAGCCGCAAGTGTCCACCAGGCTCACCCACAGATCCCAACGCCACCCTGAGCAAAGATGAGGCAGCGGTCCACCAGGATGGCAAACCACGATACAGCTACGCCACCCTCATCACCTATGCCATCAACTCCTCTCCAGCCAAGAAGATGACCCTCAGCGAGATTTACCGCTGGATCTGTGACAACTTCCCCTATTACAAGAATGCTGGCATTGGTTGGAAGGTAGGATGGCTTCTATTACCAGGGATTGTTTTCAGCCTTTGACAACTTTCTTTCTCTACTTTTGTTTCTTTGTTTAATCTGGTCCAGTGGACTGACCTGTCTCAGACATGTGGTATGTACTTCCATTAGGTACATCAGGGAAACTCCAGTGATACTGAGCCTCTAAGTATAGTTATGGGGCTAACAGGATGTTGTTACTCATTATACCCTCTTGTCTTCTGATTCCTCAAAAAGAATATCCATTCATTTCACAAATATTTATTGCCACTCTACTATGTTCCAGTCACCGTGCAAGGCATAGCATTGCTCCTTCCTACTTGGTAGTAGGAATCTCATCACATTTCCAAAGCTTCATTGCACATAGTCATCATCTTTTTAAAAACTGTACACCAAGAAAAAAAAATATAATTAGGTCCTTCACCAACAGCTCATCTACCAAGCAAGTAATGAGAGGATAAGTCATTTGGCTGGAGATAGAAAAAAGAAGGGGACTCCTCTTCCAAGCTAAGAAGGAAGATTGATGTTCTCAGTCTTTTGGAGTACCAATTCATTTGCCAACTGCAGGGTAGAATGGGGTTTTAATAGAGTTCTCTCACTGTATGAATCACCAGTTGATATACAAACCAGATGATGAGCTGAAGACTGTTGAAAGCATTCAGTTTTTTTTCCTTTATGCATATGCCCCTGCTAGCTACCGAAACCTCCAACACATTTACTCAACAATATTTCTTTCCTTCAAATGTGTCCAATCTATGGGCTGTTGAGAAAAGAAAGGTAAACTGTGCCTTTGTTTTACTCATAACTTATATTTGTTATCATTAATAGAAACAGTTTTAAAACTGTTTTAGAAACAGTTTTATAAACAGTTTTTGTTGTTAATCTTCACCCGAGGATGTTTTCCCATTGATCTTTAGGACAGTGGAAGGGTCGAGGAGAGACAGAGAAAGAGAGAGACATTGATATGAGAGAGACACATCGATTGATTGATCGCCTTCCACATGCCTCCAACCAGGGCCAAGGTTCTAGCTTACAACCGAGGTACGTGCTATTGACCAGAATTGAACCTGGGACCCTTTAGTCTACAGGCCAACACTGATTTATCTACTGAGCCAAACTGGCTAGGGCTAAAACTTTTTTTTTTTTAAATTACAGATAGAATGGTATGAAAATTGAGAAGATGTGATTTTGAGGCATTTATATATACTTATTATCAATTGGGTGGAAAGATTGAAAAACTATATAAACAGCTTTCCAGAAGCACGCAGTAGCCACATTTATAGCCATTACTGCTCATCAGTATAATTTCTGCATTTTTTCTTGGTTCATTCTTCTAGCTATCTGATAGGTGTGCTCCCTCGTCAGTAAAGTTGAGTGGTGCTGAGTTTACTCTGATACTTGAACTTTGTTTTGTGTTATGTCCTTTTGTGTCCCTTTGTATCCTATTGGAAAATGTTCTGCTTTGCACGATGCTCAAATCTAACTTGTTTCTGTGCTTCCCCAGAATTCAATTCGGCACAACCTTTCTCTCAACAAGTGTTTCCGGAAGGTGCCCAGACCCCGGGATGACCCTGGGAAGGTGAGATACTACTTGCTGTAAGCACTGAAGGAGGAACAGGAAGGAGAGAGACAGCCCAAACTCTTGTGGTTGTTTTAATTACCCAGAAGAGGAAATCATGTTAGAGAAGCAGCTTTATTTTTTCTCTCAATGGAAGAGCTTGGTAATCAAGCTTGTAGGGCCCCACTAAAATGAGTGACTAAGGAAGATTGTAAAATCTTTTTTTAAAAAAATATTCTTATTGATTTTAGAGAGGAAGGGAGAAGGAGAGAGAGATGGAAACATTAGTGATGAGAGGGAATCATTGATCAGCTGCCTCCTGCACCCACCGTACTGGGGATTAAGCCCACAACCTGGGCATGTGCCCTGATCAGAAATCAAACTATGACCTCCTAGTTCATAGGTCGACGCGCAACCACTGAGTCACACCAGCCAGGCATGAAAATCTTTTATAAAAAATAGAAATATTTATGTTAAAGTTGACTTTGCTGCCCTGTGGGTTGTTTGTATGTGTGTGTGTGTCTAGCACTCATTCTAGATGTAAAAGGTGGTCTTTATAACCTTTGTAGGAACTTTTTATCTTTAAAAAGAAGAAGGGATAGGTCATTCTCTTGGTTTGACAGATTTGGATGCTAACATCCAAGAGAGTCTTGCCTCAGATCACATAGAAGAGTAGCTGTTTGAACTAGATACCATTGTTCTGTCCCTCCAGAACAATAGAGGTCTGAGTTTGCACCATATGGGATATTTCTGATACCCCCTATTAGGAAAAACTTACTCCTCAAAATTAACCAGTATCCTCAAGCTTCTGTGTGAATTTTAAGTCATTTTTCTTTTGTCCAGACATTTAAAAAAAATAGATTTTATTGGTTTTTTACAGAGTGGAAGGGAGAGGGATAGAGAGTAAGAAACATCGATGAGAGAGAAACATCGATCAGCTGTCTCCTGCACACCTCCCACAACCTGCATGTGCCCGCAACCAAGGTACATGCCCTTGACCGGAATCGAACCTGGGACCCTTCACTCCGCAGGCCAACGTTATCCATTGAGTGACCCACACTGGCAGGGGCTAATCCTATACATTACTTGGGGGGGGGTTAAGGGGGACCCCCCATATCTACTGGACTTGGATGTGTGTCCGGGAATCGAACCTGGGACCCTACACTGT